ACGCAATCTACGCTCTCCAGGAGAATGCATGGATGGATGAGCGAGTATGGGACATCTACCTGCGTGAACTTTTGCAGTTCGAGATCGAAGCACCGTCTGTCGTGGTGGTTGATAATCTGTCGGCGCATGTCACACCTGTGGCGTGCTGGAAGAATTGCCGGCAAACGCAATAAGTACCGTTCAGCCGCTTGATGTCGGTGTGATGAGGCCGTTTAAGGCCAAGTGTCGCACTGAGTGGCTGCATGAGGTTAAGGTTACAACAGCAGCAGAGAAACGGTTGGCGATGGTGAAGCGAATTTTGTAAGTATGGGATTCTATAGCACCTGGGATGATTATTCGCTCGATCGAGAAAGCTAGTCCTCGTGAGGAGTCGTAATATACTTTGTCGGTTGTGTTTTCGTTGTTGGAGGTTTCCCGGGCATAAACCCCCTCCTGAATCCGTTGCGCATGCCGAGAGTCCAAATTCGTTGATTTTTGATTTTATGCGACATTTTAGTATCATGTTACAACACCTTGTGACTGATTGGCTAAAATCCTCAAACTGTCCTTGTTTTGCAGCAATATTAATTGTCCAACTGTCTCGGCCTCTCATACAATAGCCAAGATAATGTTAAATACAACTGTGGGCGAATTCATCCCCGGTTCTCTGTAATGCGAAAGTTGTGGTGGATTGGCTTTAAGCACCCTGAATTTCCTGAATCAAAAGCATTCATACCATTTCACTATAGTTTTCAACGATTAATTCTCGTTACGCTACCGTTGTTCGCAATGTCAATGCTCAATCGCTTGGACATGCTAGGTTTTCTGCGAATGGCAAATTCGCAGTAACCCTGGACAAAGGGTTCAGTTCTCTTTGGTAGCGCTGTTGCGTGACTGTCTAGATGACAGGCGGACACCAGATGTAGGGATAAGACTCGCGACGACAGTCACTGGGGGAATTTCCTTTGTGATTTGCCCTCTCAATCGGACTTCGTAAGGTCCGTCAGGTGGAGATGCAACAAAGAATTCTTTAGTAGCAGCCTGCAACTTGAGGTCAAGAATGGGGCAAGAACGTCTACAGTTTACAAGCTCGTTGGCTCGTGTGACACACACAAGGTCGATGGAGACAGTGTTGACCGTGCGTTTACCTCCGCCGAACTAGGCTACCATGGACACGCTACAAATGCAGAACGTGGAGCGAGCTGATGCGACATCAAGCCATTTAAATCAGATGACTGACGATCAGTTGGCACAGTTCCTTGCGCAGCAAAGTGCCATGACGCAACGCCTGGATGAAGAGTCGCCCAGACAGCTGTCATGTTCTGTGTGTTCGCTCTTCTTCAGGGTATATCGAAGCTTCTTTTTCGGGAGGTGTCGTAGGTTGCACAAACGTTTCAACCGCCTTCATCGCCGCCATCAGCGGTGTCTCTTGACCATACAACTGGTCAAGATCGTAGACACTTTTCGCATGGCTACCTTGCTGTGGCGTCGCCGGCACCCAGCACTTGAAATTGGTCTGCACGAGAGAGCCTCCAGTCATGTCAAACGTCAAATGTAGCTTGACCCAACGGTTCAACTTAAGCTTCGTGTCTTTGACGAATCCACCCAGTTCGATGAAACTGTCCAGATGCTGCACTGCTAACGTGCCACGGTTAACGCCCTCTGATCTCGATAGAAACGTCGACGACATGACCGGCCTCACTGCCCAACAGGGCCACAGCCTTGACGCTTGACGTCGCACGAAACCGTAACTGGGCTTACCACAGCGATTTTTTCGTGGATTTCCACGGCCGCACCAATAACCTTGCACTGAGCCTCGTCCTTTTTGTCAGGTACTGCCGTGCTGCCATGGCAGTGACAAGCGTTTTCTGGTACCACAGTACCATCAACCGTTGTGCTTTGCCTGGGTGCACCTTGGGCCCCTGAACACCTTGTGTACCACGCTGCCGCACTTCAAACAGCTCTTGGCGATCGGGGCGACCGACTTGGTAGGCGCCTCGACATCGTGTCTCTTCGACGGCATATGTCACAGTGTCCTGTCGCCATTTTGCGTGGCAGACTCTTCTCCGATTTCTTCTTCATATAGTTTCGACTCGACAGCGTAAAGTTGTCCATAAACGTCATAAGCGAAGTGCGAAACGCACGCACGTCCGACTTGAACGGCTTGGTCGCCTTGCGCGTTAACTATCGCTGGGCAGTTACCTTCAGCTGCGGAGGTCGAATCTCCGCCGTCAATATCTTGACCAATTACTTCGGCTCTTGTTCGGGCAAGTGCGCAACGTCCAGTTGCTCTAATGTCTCGAATCTGAGGGTATTTACCTTGTGATTTGCCCGTTGAAGCGGTGTTCACATGGAACGTCAGGTGGGAATGTAAACAGAGATAATGTTTTGCACATGCGAGTCAGGCGCATTCTCCTAAATCTCCCGCTCACGATTCGCAATCCTTCGACGGACAAAAAAAGGTTGGAATGAACTCGATCCCGACTTTTGCAATGAAGTCTCGTCAGTCCAAATTACACGCTTCCAGTCGTCAACATACTTGTTTTTATGTTTGAAGGTACAATCCAAACGCAACTTAAAATTCCTCTTTGACAGGGAGGGCTTGCGTCGAGATGCTCGACCATTTAAACGATTTTCCTTGAAACGGTATCGTACAGGGGAAGTTGACACAACTTTGTAATGAAATATTTGAAACGTTTCACGCAACGATTGGGTACTCTAGCGTCGATTTATTACAGTGCGGACGTCGTTTCGATCTTCATGGCTGGCTAGTTGCAACTTGTTGGCCCAAAGCTGAACGCGGGGGGGGCAAAGTTCCGTGTATTTTGAACCTGTTTACGATTGATTGTATAGTCGCCTTCGATAGGCCCATCTTCCCAATGGAAAACTCTTCTGTATGGTTTGAAACCACCAGTTCTCGCAGGTCCTGTTAGTGCTGCTTTCTCACCCATCGTTGGAACGTCGGATACTTGTGCCACGTTGCAAGCAGTGTATCAATGGTGCTGGAGACGCAAAACAAGTTGTGATTAACCGCTTCGTAGTTGAAGTAGATACAGTTTGGCGCAATATGTTATAATTTCGTATGAGATGGACAATTCGTGTTCAAGGTTTTTCAGCCAATTTTTCGCGTCCGGTGTTCCGTCAACTGCTAGCTGCACAATTTTAAACAATACTAATGGCCTTATAGAGTCTCCACATGAATGAATAATCTTGGCGTCCAAGCGTGGCGTGAACAAAATGTTTGACTATTGTATGCACTCGACAGTACTTTTTTGATCTGAAGTCACGGCGTCCTCGTGCGATCGGGATAAATCGTTCAATCACTTTCGGAAGATGCGATGTGTCGGGGGTGACAGGGGCGGGTCACAGCTGGAAACGTAAGATGAACGCGGCTACGGATGTCGAGAAGCAATGGAGTTGGCGATTGTGAAGGTCAACGCATAACCTGTTGTGCCATCAGCACTTGATGGATGGATGAGGTCAACGAACTGAGGAATTTCGCATTTTTATCTGCTTTTCGTACCGTTTTCGACAACGTTTGATAAACGTTATTCAATAATGTGCGGAGGAGCGCTAAGTGCGATTTTCACCGAGGCGACGTCACCCTACCTCGCCGCCTCAGGACGATGAAGTCGGCGTTCGGGATGAAGAACGTCAAGAAGGAAAACCTAGAGAAGGGCCTCGCAGACATGAAGGAAATCGGAATCGGAGGTTTGAGCAAAGGCTTGAACTTTCTACGGACGGCGTCCCAGACTGCGATGGCGCCGAGCGACGAGGAAAAACCTGCAGTTGCACCAACGTCATCTGCTCGTGCAAGCTCGTTTAACGGTAGCAGCGGTGTTGAAAAGCCCAAGATGTCGTACGATGAGCTATTGAATCTCAGTATGAAGTTGACCAAGCAGAACAAAGCCTACAAGGCGCAGCTGACCCAAGCCTCAGACAAGTTGTTCCAAGCCGGGGAGATCGAGGCAAATTATGCGTCACTCGTCCAGTTCGTATCCGAAGACGTTGGAGTGGACCTTGTTTACACGGAACTCAAGGTGCCGCCGATGACTTCCGACGAAGATGGAGCAGGGAGCGACAGTACGAGTTGTCCGGTTGAGAAACTTTTGGACGCGAACGCCATGCGGCAGCTATATCATGCCCGAGACAGCGCGCGTGAACTACAGGTGCGGGACATGGAAGATAAGTACGCCCAGGAAATCATCGAACTGCGAGCGGAAGTGGCCAAATTGTCCGAGAAAGGTGGCGGCGATTTGATCAACTTGGATTCTCCGGTTCACAAAACTTCGACAGCCCCCGATTCTGCAGTAGAACCTCTCCTGCATGAATTAGAGACCCTACGTACTGCGCTCGATGCAGAACGCGCGACAGTCGCTGAGTCCGAACGAGCTCAACAGTTGTTGAAGTCCCAACTCGCAGAAATCCAAGGTCTGCTCATGACCACAACGACCAGCATGAACGCCCACGCCTCGGACATGGCTGCCCAAAAGGCGGCGCTTCAGAGCAAGGACGACATCATCGCCGGTCTCAAGCACGAATTGGCGCAACAGCAACAAATCATTCTGAAGCTGCAAGATAAAACGAGGGAGTTGGGTTCGATGAGCCAACGTGTGCAGTTGTTAGAGCAGGAAAATGCTGCGCATGTCAAGGACATCCACCAAATGCAAGCGACCATAGCTACCCATGCCAGCGACGTCGAGGCGTGGGAAGCCAAGGAAGCGGCAGACCGAGCGGTCAAAGCCGCGTTGGATGCATATGCAGTTGAAATTTCCATGTTGCGAGCGACGGCTGATGCGCAAGCAATACAGCTTTCCCAGGCGCAAAGTGCTTTAGCTGAGCACCAGACCACCCTTGCAGCAGCTCACGAATCACGACTGGCCCAAGAAGCCCACGATCAAGCGCTTTTACTCGAGCGGCAAAATGCACTAGACGCCATCCAAGCCCAGCTTCATGTCGTGGAAGCGACTGCTTCGAACTTGCGAACCGAGCGCGAGGCCGGTTTGAGCGAGATCAAGTCTTTGGAGTATAAAGTTCGGGAATTGACTGCGGCCATCGAGTCGAAGGAACGACAAGTGGTGGACCTCGAAACTTCTGTGCAGCGCCAGACTGCGGCGCTGGCGGAAGCTTTAGCTAAAGCGGAGGACGTATCGATGCAATGGCAGAGTGAAGTTGCAAGTTTGCGCCACCAAGTGCATCAAGTCAACGTGGTGTTGTCACAGCGCCAAGATGACTTAGACAGTGTCAAGAGCCAACTGGTTGCGGCGCAGCAAGCCGTGGCGGCGGACGCGAGTGAGAAGGTGGCCATGCTGCAGCAAGAAGTGACTCTCGAGCAAAAAAAAGTGGAAGAAATCACCGCGGCACTCCATGCCAAGGACACCCAAGTGAGCGAATTAGAAGCGCGGCTCGGTGACCTCGAACGTGTCCATATTCACGTAAATGAGGCGCTGCGACAAGCCGAGGTGGAGAAAGCAGAGGCGGCCGCGCGCTTGACCGATGTGATCACTGCGCATTCCTGTGAAACCGAACGTGTGATCAGCCTGCAAAAGTCACTCGAGCATCTTCAAGCGGACTTCGCTTCAGTTACAGCTGTAAAGATCGCCGTGGAGTCGGAACTGGGACAGCTGAAGGAAGCAGTCCAGTCGGATTTGGCGGCGCGCCAGCGAGATGTGGCTGTTTTGCAGGAGGCTGTGGTGGCTCACGAGCGGCAAGAAGCATCACTCCATCAAACCACTTCCGATGCGTTGGCCGCAAAAGCATCGATCGAAGCTCAAGTTGTACAGTTGGAAGAGGCAATGGCAGCTGCGATGGCTCGAGCCACACAAGCAGAGGAAGACAAAGTTGCTGAGGTAACTCGTCTCCAATGTGAGCTGGACGATGCGCGAGCCGGAGCTCTAGCGCTTGCCGAGACGAACAAAGCCAACGTCGACGCGCAAATCGAGTGTTTGCGACAAGACGCAGCTGCAGAGCGCAAACGGGTGGTGGCATTGCAAGCTCAACTTGACGCGGAGGCGCAAGAACGCGAACTTGAACGCGCAAAGCATGCTGCTCAAGTCGAAGAAAGCCAGAAGCACTTGGTGCAAAGCCGGGACGAGTTGATTCAAGTACAAGCGCAGCTGGGAGTGGCGACGACCACAATTCAGGCATACGCTGCTGACCTTGAGGCTCACGCAGAAACGATCAAAGAAAAGGAGGCGCGTTTGCTTGCACTGCAGGAAAATCTGGATGCCCAAAACGCTCGACTGGCCGACTGCCATCGAAAAGACGAAGAGGTATCGCAACTTCAAGCCAAGCTTCATTCAGTCGAACAGCAAGCCGCCGCTCATGTCGCTGCGATCGACGCATTGCAGCAGCAAGTGACCACACACCAGACAGACTTGGCGTCCGTGCAAGCAGCGGCCGAGACGGCAGCGACAATGAAGGCTTCGTTGGAAGGCGAATTGCAGGTTATGGAAACGTTGCGTGCCCAGATTGAAGCCAAGACTGCCGACCTGCACGATGCGCACGCGCAACTGCAAAGCTATCACAACGAGAGGTCGAAGGAACGAGAATCGTGGGAAAAGCAACTTCGGGAGGCTGAAGCGACTGCAGCCAAACTCCAAGCAGAGCTCGAGACAGCTCAGGCCCAACTGGCGGCGGCGCAATCGATGGCCGATACTTATGCTCAAGATATCAAAAACCAAGTGAATGCTGCCCGCGAGCGCGAAGACTACATGGCTACCCTCAAACAAGAATTGCATCTCGCACAGGCGACCTTAGGCCAGCGTTTACATCACGTCGAAGCGGAGGCGAGTGCACTGGCAGCTCAGTTGTCTGCTGTAAACGCCACAGCAACGAGTCTTCGAGCAGAGCTAACGACGGTACAGGCTGAACTGAAGTCTCGAACGACCGAGTTACGCGCAGCGAACGAAGCGACGGAAGCTGCCAGAGCCGCAAAAGCCAACGTTGAAGCGGAATTGCATGACACCCGACTGACGGCAACCAAGACGCTCGAGGCAGAAGTTGAACGGCTGACGTTGAAATGGAAAGAGATGGAGGCGGCGTGGACGGCGCAGAAGTCCGAAAACGGTCGTCTGGCGAAGGAAATGCACACGTTGCACAAGACGTGGTCGGAAAAGAACGCACTGGCGGCGCGGCTGCATGCTGAAAATGTTCTTTTAAGCGAAACCAGCGCCGGAATTACTGCTGAAGCGGCTCAATTACGACAGCAACTGACCGAGCACGCTGAAGCATTGCGGAAGTCGGAAGGCTTGGCCAAGGAAATGACCAATGTGGCGGCATCCCGAGCATCAGACGTAACTCGTGTGGAAACAGAGCTGGCAGAAGCCACGGCTTCACATGCACGATGGAAAGAAGACTGGCACGAGAAGCTCCGCCTTGTTGAGTTGACGGCGGCGGAACGGGAAGCCAAATTGAACCAAAAGTTTGCGATCGAACTGGAAAAACTCGAAGCTGACGGACGTGCCAAGTCCAAGTTGGCGAGACAAGTGGTGTTGGAGAAGGAAGAGTTGATTGCCAGCTTAACCGCGAAACTGGCTAAGCTGGAAGAAGACGTGCGGTCGGGGGATGCCGATCACAGGCGAATTTTCGAGTTGGCGTCGATGCAAGCGAATCGTGACGCGGCAGCACGGTCACGAGAGCAGGAGTTGGCCGAGGTCATGACAGCACTGGAGCAACTCCGAGCCGAAAACGTTCAGTTGACCAACGACAAAGTGGCGTTAGAGGAGGACATTGCACATCTCGTGCGTACCGAACGCCGGGAAGGCGTCAATATGGAATACTTGAAGAACGTCGTCGTGCAGTACATGAGCTTCCGACCTGGTTCGTCGCAGCAACTCAAGTTGATCCCAGTGCTGTCGACGTTGTTGCAATTCACTCCGGAAGATATGGACGAAGTTCATTCGAGCACGAAGCAAGCGTCCAGCTGGACGTCATGGAGCGAAAAGAAACCCGTGCGCAACATTACCGCGCCGCCTCCGATTGTGATTCCCCAAAGGAAAAAAGTCGGAAGCCCGCGGTCGTTGAACTCACCGAGCAAGTCCAGCAGCCCGCGCAGTAGTCCACGGGGAAGCCCGCGGTCCAAGACACGGCGAAGCATGTCGCCGCCGAAACAGCGCGCCATGACGGCGCAGGAGCCATTGGCTCATCATGACAGTATCGATCTGTAGACACAAGACGACGTGGATGCGCGAACGCCCCCATGAACGGCCATTCGATCGTCCAGTAGTAAGTTGGACAATACTGTTTGATTACTACAACTCGAGTCACTAATTAGTGACTTGTGTTGAAAAATCTAGTTATTGTATGGACAGGGATTGGATTTTCACTAGTAGGGTTGGTCTACTACAAAAAATCGAAAGTTTGAAAAAATCGCATACAAAGTTTCACATTCGATTCCATCCCATCCGTACATCGGTCCCCCGCACACACGGCAACGGACCAACATGGCGATCCTCAACCCGAAGAAGATGAAGGTAAACGAGATCAAAGATGAGCTTGCAAAACGGGGATTGAGCCAAACGGGTCTTAAGCCCGAGCTCATCCAGCGTCTTGAACTCGCTCTCGATGAAGAGGAGTTTGGCGGCTTGGATGTCCCAGAATCATCCCCAGTTTCCACTGCCGTTGCTGTCGTGGAGAATGAGGTTGCTCCCACCGTTGTCATGAAGAAAACCGACTCGATTCGAAGCCTTCTCAACGACGATACTCCTTCCGCGGAACCTGCTGCCACGGCGCTTGCGAAGGCTGCTGTTGGCAAGCCATCTGCGACTTCGACGGTGGCTCCTACTGCCAAACCTACTGTGAAAAAGACTGATGTGTCCCCGCCCAGCGCAACCATCGTGGCAAACACGCCCAAGGCGATCTCAGAGGAGGAGAAGAAACGTCGTCGCGCTGAAAAATTTGGCATTCCACTCTCAGAGGAACAGAAAATTTTGGAACGTGCTAAGCGCTTCCAGCTGCCGAGTATGAAGAGTGACGACTTTAGTGCTCTGCTCACGGACAACCCGGGGGTTCATGTAGACAAAGTTCTTGATGACGCGAAAAAGCAGGACCGGGCCAAGCGCTTTGGGCTTCCTGTTGCTTTGGACGCCAGTATGGTACGAGTTATTTCACCAAGAATCACACCGATGTTAACATGGCGATGCATTTAGCTGGAAGAGAAGAAAGCCGCGCGTGCAAGCCGGTTTGGAATGAATGCCGAAGCCGAGAAGAAGCTGAAACGCGCCATGCGATTCAACTTGGAAACGCCAGAGACGGTCCGAGTCCTCCCGCCTCCACTGTCTCCGGTAATCTGACCTGTGCATTGTCTCGATGATGTAGGTGGATGCAAAAAAGAAGCAACGCCTGGAGCGATTTGGTCTGTCGAAGTAATTACGTTAATGCACAGCGACTCCCTCCACTCCGTCGTGGCGATGAAATGGATGCGCACAATATCATGGCATTCCCTGGTAAACGCTCACCAAGTGCGTGCGAAGAATATGTCTCGCCCGCGGATCAAAAACGTCGCTCAAGGTTGCACGGTCCAGCGTCCATGGGCATTCACGCGACCGTTGCTGTTGGTGAAAATGGAAGGGCGGAACACTCCGAAAAATCCCTCCTTGGTGCCACTTGCGCGGCAGCGCTCATATAACATGCGAATAAAGTCCTGCTTTGTCGTAATGCATGTTGGCTATTGCGCCGCAGCCGCACCGATCATCGCATCCACTTCGTGGACGACCATCGCGACGGTTCGGTGGCGACCCTTGGGTGAGCGGACGTGATGTCTACCTTTGAAACTTCATATGTGGTTGCAGTGTCCAAAGTCATTGAAAATACGATCTCGAAGGGTATTTATTTATCCAGGTTCAGGTGTTTTTCGAAAGGTCACAAGACTTGGTTTTGTGAGGAACAGCGAGGGAGCGAACGGGCGCACCATGCAGCTGCGGCATCTCTCGACAGTACTCCCGCCCACGGAGGGCATGTGCAAGGTTACTGCCATTGCGTGGTCTCCAAACAATCGCCGCCTTGCAGTCGTGACCGTGGAGCGTGTCGTCCACATGTTTGACGCGTCAACCGGGGAACGAAAAGACAAATTCTCGACCAAACCAGCGGAAAAGGTACCCCATCATCCACAAGAACCAGCGATTTTCTCAGCAAGCGATGTGCTCCACCGTAGGGTGACAAGAACTACGTAGTCAAGGCGCTCGCGTTCTCGCCAGACTCGTCCAAGTTGGCCGTTGCACAAAGCGACAACATTGTGTTCATTTACAAGCTTGGCCTCGAATGGGGCGACAAAAAGTCGATCTGCAACAAGTTTTTGCAAACAGCGAGCGTCACGAGTATGGTATGGCCCACATCGCATCCGAACGAAATCGTATTTGGGCTGAGCGACGGAAAAGTCAAACTCGGCCAGTTGCGCAGCAACAAGCCTGCCACGTTGTATGCGACGGGGTCGTACGTGAGCACGCTATGCACGAACGTCGAGGGAACAGCGATTTTGTCGTCGCACTACGACCAGAGTATTTACCGGTTCATCTTCGATGACGTGAACGGCGGATCGACGCAGACCAAGATCGCGATCCATTCGTGCGTCCCGTACGCGCTGTCGTGGGGCGAAGCGATCGTCGCGGCCGGGAACGACCGGAAAGTCACGTTCTACGACAAGGACGGTGGGATGGTGCGATCCTTTGACTACGCGTCCGAGGACAAGTGCGGCGAATTCACGACATCCGTTTTCAATCCGACGGGCGACAGTTGCGTTGTCGGCAACTTCAACTCCTTCTATGTATTCAACTACCTCGTCAAGACCGATTCGTGGGAAGCTGTCGGCGTCAAGACGGTCGAAAACCTCTACTCGGTCACGAGTTTGGGGTGGAAGTTCGACGGATCGCGCCTTGCGGTGGGCTCGGTCTGCGGCGCGCTCGACTTGTACGACGCGTGCGTGCGGCGCTATCGGTACAAAGGCAAGTTTGAGTTCACCTACGTGAGCCTTAGCCAAGTGATTGTGAAGCGTATCGCGACGGGGGCCCGTGTCATTGTTCGATCGTCTTTCGGGTGTGAAATCACCAAGATCAACGTGTTCCAAGATCGGTTTCTCATTGCCAACACGAGCAGCACGCTGCTCGTTGGCGACCTCGACACGGCGAAACTGAGCGAAGTCCAGTGGCAGTCGTTGGGGTCGGAGAAGTACATGTTTGAGAACCCGACCGTGTGCATCATCTACCAAGCGGGCGAGCTGTCTCTGATCGAGTACGGACAGAGCGAGATCCTTGGCAGTGTGCGCACGGAGCACTTGAACTTGCACTTACTCAGCGTCCGCATCAACGAGCGTCCTGTCCTCACGGACGGAAAGCCCATGGAAGATAACAAGAAGATGGCGTTCCTGCTCGACTTGCAAACGATCTCGGTCAAGGACATGCACAACCACACGTCGACCACCATCAATCATGACTCACGGGTCGACTGGCTCGAGCTCAACGCGCACGCAAACTTGCTCCTCTTCCGCGACAAGCGCCGCCAACTGCACCTCTTTGACATGGACACCCAGACACGCAGTACCCTGCTCAACTATTGCAACTACGTCCAGTGGGTGCCCGACTCGGACGTGGTTGTGGCCCAGAATCGGACGAGCTTGTACGTGTGGTACAACATTCGCAGCCCGGACAAGGCCACGATTTATCAAATTAAAGGTGGGTGGAGCTCCATGTTATAGCCCATGCATTCCCGCGCGGATCAAGGCGGAGAACGATTTGTTCCATGGGCGCTTCCTACCTTGGAGAAGAAATCTCGTTGTAACTGAGCGCACGATTCACTTGGTGACATGATAGGGGATGTCGAGCAAATTGAAAGAGGCAATAATCGCACCGAGGTAATCGTGGATGAAGGCATGAACACGGCGAGCTACCAGCTGGACGAGTCGCTCATTAACTTTGGGACGGCCATCGACGACATGCAACTCTTACGTGCCATGAGCATCTTGGAGCCGCTTGAACTGACGCCAGAGACAGAAGCGATGTGGATGCAATTGAGTGCCGAAGCATTGAAATGCAACGACCATCGCATTGCCGAGAGATGCGTGGCGGCGCTGGGCGACGTGTGCCGGTGCCGGTACCTGCGCAAGGTGAACAAAGTCGACTGGATGGAGAAGGGTCGAATGGGCGAAGGTAGGGCGATTGAATCTCTGAGGAAGAAGTCCGATGTAGACATTGATAATGAGTTGGGCCGTGAGCAGGAATGGTCCATTGGAAGGTTCGGTCCAAGCTTGCGCAACTCAAGAACGACTACCGCAGTGCCGAGCATATTCTCCTGAGTCAAGGTCAGGTGGATGAAGCAATTGAAATGTATCAAATCCTGCACAAGTGGGAAGACGCGATTCGCGTTGCGGAGGCCAAGAACCACAGCGCGATCGACACCATGAAGCGCCAGTACGCCGAGTACCTGCTCAGTTCTCGTCAGGAAGAAAAAGCTGCCGTGCTCAAGGTCAAGGAAGGCGACTTCCCTGCCGCCGTTCACTTGTACCTCAAGGGCGGGTTACCTGCGAAAGCGGCGCAACTATTGAACGAGCGCAACCTTGGCCGCGATCACAAGGGGCTCATGGAAAGCGTCGCCGATGCGTTGTACACGGCGGGCATGTTCGAAAAAGCCGGTGACCAGTTCGAAAAGATGGATCAAGAAGATCGGGCGTTGGCAGCGTTCATCAAGGCAAATGCGTACCGCAAGGCGGTCGAACTCAGCCGCCGCGTGTTCCCAGATCGTGTCATGAAGCTCGAAGAAAGCTGGGGCGACTACCTCGTATCGCAGAAACAAGTACGTGAACATGAGCTATGGACCAGGATGGAGCATTTAAGGGTGGTGTGCTCCGATAGATGGACATGGCTATCAACCATTACATCGAAGGCAACGTCCCGACCAAAGCTGTGGAGGCGGCGCTTAATTCGCGCCAGTGGGCCAAAGCTGGCCAAATGGTCGAAACTCTTGACGATGACATTGCTCTGCCGTACTACCGCCGCCTTGCGCGACATTACCAAGATGCCCAACAGTACGAACAGGCGGAACGGTGCTTTATCAAGGCGGACGCAGCAAAGGACGCAGTCGAAATGTACACGCGCGCAAACAAGTGGGATGCAGCGTATCAGGTGGCACTGAACCACATGGACAAGTACGAGACGGAGCGGTTGTATGTCGAGCAAGCGCACCGCATGGAGCGTCAAGGTACGTCTTCAGCACACTCGGCGTAACAGGGAGAAGTCACTCTCGCGTGTTGCATAGGCAAGTTAAAAGAGGCCGAGAAGCTGTTTTTGACCGTGAACGAGCCCGACTTAGCCATCAACATGTACAAGAACCACAAGAATTACGAGCAAATGATTCGACTTGTGACCAAGTATCGCAAGGATTTACTCAAGGACACGCACTTGTACCTGGCGCAGCAGCTCGAACACGAAGGAAATTTCAAAGAGGCCGAACATCACTTTGCCGAAGCGGGCGAGTGGCAAGCTGCAGTCAACATGTATCGTACAAACGACATGTGGGACGAAGCGATACGTGTGGCCAAGTACCATGGCGGTACGTCGTGTGGCAAGTTGGGAGCATCTCGATTTAACGCCCCTTGTAGGCATCAACGCATCGAAGCGCGTGGCGTATGCATGGGCCATGAGTTTGGGTGGCGAGGCGGGGTCGAAGCTGCTGACGCGACTGGGTTTGATTGAACCTGCCATCGATTACGCGATCGAGAGCGGCGCGTTCGAACACGCGTTTGAGCTCGCGCGGAACTGCGCCCCCAAGAAAGTGCCCGAAGTCCATTTAAAACATGCCCTCTTCTTGGAAGACGAAGAGCGGTTCAAGGAGGCCGAAGAAGAGTTTGTCAAGGCCGTCAAGCCCCGCGAAGCCGTCGACATGTACATCCACCAGCAGGATTGGCAAAACGCCATGCGTGTGGCGGAGACGAACGATCCCGCCAGCGTCTCCGATGTGTTCATTGCGCAAGCTCGTCTGTGGGTTGAACGAAAGGAATTTGCGCGTGCTGGTATATCCATTGTGATTCGTCTGATGCACGCGGTGCTACGGAAGTGCAGACAGCTCCTTCCCAGGGCAGTACTCACGATACTTGTGTAGAGGGCTTCTTCTTGAACGCTGGCAAGCCCGAGCTTGCCCTTGCGGCGTACACTGAAGCACTCATGTGGAACGACGCAATGCGACTCGCGAAGCGGCACTTGCCGCATAAGTTGAGCGAAGTCAACATGGCTCACCAACGCGCAATCTTTTCCGGTGGGCCCAAATCCAAAGAAGAGTTGCTCGAAGCGTGTGAGATTTGGGTGTCGTGCCAGCAGTACGTGCAAGCCATCGACGCTTACTTGTCCATCACGAACGAGCAGCTGGATGTACGACCAAGCGATGAACAAACCACACAGACTTCGTGTATTGACTGCCGTGGCTCGTAGAACCCGACGGGACTCGAAGAAATTTGGGGACTCGCCGTCGAGCTCGCGTCCAAGCACGACCGCGGCCGGTACAAGTCGGTCGTTGAGGAAGTTGCGTCCCGGTTGCTGTCGATGTCCATGTTCGATGCGGCTGCCAATTATTTCAAGTCCATTGACAAGATGAGCGAAGCGCTGGATTGCTACCTCCGGACAAACAACTGGGTCGATGCGCAAAAGATGTGCGAGCAGCATGCCCCAGAGTTGTTGCCTCGACTGGAGCGCGCGCAACAGGCGTCGGCATTTGGATCGTCGAGTGACGCAAAGAAGGAAGACAAACTATCGAGCATGGGGACGTCCTCGAGCAGCATAACGAGCGACCGCGATGACGATGCGAAGGGTGCTAAGGGGAGCGACCACCACCGCAGCGAGAAAGCGACGAGTGGAAGCAGTTCGTCATCGTCCGAGGCCAAGGAGAACGGGAATGCCCTCGAAGTCTGGATGCAGCGTGGTGAGTGGGACAAAGTCCTCACGTCCGCCGCCAAGCACGGCCCAAAGTCGCTGGCCAAATACCTCGTTGTAAGGTGCACGCGCCTTGTGGAGCACGACGACCCGGACACGGCTGTGAACACGATCAACCAGTACGGAATTCCCCTGGAAGCAGACGCGCTCGAAATGGTCCAAGTTGTCGTGAAGAAGAGCCTTGGTTGCAAGGTCACTGTCGAGTCATCCCCAGAACATGCCACGGCCGTCGCGACAATCGTCAAGTGTCTCCGCAAATTGATCAAGGAGCTCAAGGCGGCCAAGGACATGGCGACTGTCGCGAAAATGGAGCAGTACTTGCTGATTGCGCATTATTGTTCATTCAAGTATGCGGCGCAGGCGGCGGGTCTCACGGACATTGCATGCAAGATCTCCATGTCGCTGCTACGATTCATCGGGACGTTGCCCGCCGACAAGATGTTCTTCTTGGCCGGAGCAGCTTGTCGTGAAAAAAAGTGGCTCAGTCCAGCGTTTGTCTTCTTCAACCGGTACTTGGACTTGACGGAAGCCATCGATGATGGCACGACCAGCAACCTGGACAACTCGGACTTTTTGGGCACGGATATTCCATCGCCGCGCGATTTCAGCGTGCCGGAGGACCAGTATCTCCCGGAGGAAAGCGCCCGCGAAGAGATCCGAGACTGGGTATTGACCATCTCGATGGACCAGCAAGTGCAGGAGAAGCTGCCGGAGAAGCCGTGCCCCAACTGCCAAGCCTCCATCTACGAAGGCAACTTGCAGTGCGCTGAATGCAAGACCAAGTTCGAGTCGTGCATCATCACAGGGTTCCCTGTCGGTGCCAAGACGACGGTGCATTGTACCAATTGCAAGGTCATCGCGGACAGAGAGAGTTGGAACAAGTGGATCAAGCAGTTCGGGTCGTGCGGGTGGTGCTCCGCGCCGCAAAAGATGAGTTATTAGTGCAACCAGGTACAGTCAACCTGCCCCACCATCGACCACTTCTCGCCACGGCCATTGTGTGTCGTGCCTCCTAACGTCCATAACATGTACATGTGCATCTTCATTGGGCTCACGCGATGGCTGCGTCGCTCATTTTGCCGCGGGGAAAAGCTCAAATGCAGTGTTTTTGCATATTCTACAGTCCGTTGCAAAAGGTTAGGACAACCCACCTTTCGGCCGATACCTCGGTCAATTTTGCGAGTTTTTTTAGCACAAACATAGCAACATGATCGTAATAGCCTTCTGAATGCAGTTGACATGAATTGAGAGCAATTCACGGACGAATTGGGTCGGGATTGCATGACAATCAAAATGATCAGTGGTAAAACGATAGGACAGGTTGCTCGAATCCTAAAAATGCACAAATGATGCAATACAAGAACAAAAAGGATTGTATTAAGAATTAATGGGCTTTCCTGAGGACTTCAAAACACCAATGCAGCGGGATTTCATGCTTCGAACGAGCCCTTCGAGGTAGCAAGGTGACAAAGCGTTCCAATGAAACAAAATTGCTTCTTTTAACTCATGCGTTGAGTTGTATTGTTTCCCATTCGCACACACCTTCAGGACAAGGTATCCCCAGACATTCTAATGGGGTTGAGGTCTGGTGACAGTGCAGACCAGTCCAAGACCCTGATGTCGTTGTCGTCAAGAAACGCCTTTGATTCTTTCGACGCGTGAATCGAAGCATTGTCATGCTGAAAAACGAAGTTGTAGCCAAAATGCTCGTGAGCCGATAGAAACATGTAGTTGGACAGTGTATCGAAGTTGTAGCCAAAATGCTCGTGAGCCGATGGAAGCATGTAGTTGGACAGTGTATCGATGTAGTCGCCGGAATTCTGGCGCCCCTCGAGAAAGGCAAGCTCGCTCTTGCCGTCCGCCCGGATTGCGCCCCAGAACAACACAGAGCCCCCACCAATTTGTCGGCTAAATGCAGTCTTCTTTTCGCGCCCAACGCAGTGCCAATAGTACTTTAGGCCGTCGGGGCCATCCAGGTTCCACTTTTTCATTTGGAAAACAAAATTTCGGCCCACCCTTGCCACTCCAAGTCTACGTGCTTTTCGGCCCAACGACAACGGTTCTCCATGTGTGTTTCTGTGAGCTTGTGCTTTTTGTTCATCTTGATGTAGTCGAACTCTCTAGACGAGTTCATTAGCCTTGATATGGTCGTACGGTGGACGTGGAGTTCAAGGTCATGCTTAACTTTTGCGCAGCTTTTGGGATCTTTTGCCATGGCAAGAATAATTTGGCGCTCGTCTCTTTGGCTCAACTTTGAAGGGCGGCCTCCTCTGAAGCGTTGGCCGTACGGCATGGGGTCCGCAAGGTAGTTTTGCTCAGCGTGGCGGCTCCGTTTCACGAACTGGGCAGTCTGGTTCAGGCTGAGCCCAAACTCGACGCACACATCAATTTGGCCACGCTCGAACTCTGTGAGCTGAGACGAGCGTCCCATGCGGCTGTGTTGATCAGCTTCCGAGGCTGACACTTGTTAAGTGTAGAGTATGTTTTCGGCCACGTGGAGCCCTTGAAATCGATGATGGGCGGGAATTTTCAAATGTGTCCTATTGTTTTGCACATGTTCAAAACAAGTATTTTTGCATTTTCTTTTGAATCTGTATGCGGAATTCTACACAATTGGATTTGATACATTCCTGATTGTAGCACGAATAAAACGATACTTTCAGGAGCTTACAATTCCGAATAAATCATGAGTTCTGCAACGAAACGTGTTATGTCCTAACGTTTCGCATCAGACTGTACGCGTGTCGACAAAATTGACACGCGGAAACGATGACTTGCGCGTGGGGTGGGATGGCATGCACGTGTGACGGGATGACTAGGACGTTCATCAGGATAACTAACGCGTGTATTACAAACACAGACAAGCAGAGGCAAGTCTGAATGCGTAGAGTCCCAGGTTTTTGTGTGTGGTCTGGTTGAAGGGTCCCCATGGTACGACAGCAGTGCCGCCCGCGCCTGTGCCCCTCACAGAACCCGTCGAAACGAGTGGTCAGCAGACTCCCGCATTTAGAAGTCTATTTGGATGGATATCTGCGCTAATACTACAATGGACATTTTGGATCTGACATCAACGCCGTTGTGATAGGCAATGTGAATTGCCGTTGCAACTTTCTTGGTGTTCATAAGCATTTGTTCGATTTCGCCATTGACGGTGAACCGCACAAGCCATGCACTTCTCGAGGCAACAAAGCTGTCGACCTCGCCAACGTTTTTAAGTAACTCCTTCAGCGATTCGCCGTTGGACAGTGCTGCTGTAGTTCGAAACCTTTTGCAACACCTGTACCCGACTATTGAGAGATGGTGCTTTGTTGCTTGATTTACAAGCGATGTGAGTGTGAACTGGCGTTCTCAAGTCTCGGCCTTCAGGGCCTTAGACGCTTTGCTTGGGCGGCCAGAAGATTTTCGAATGGGCAATACCCGCAACCTCATCCGAATGTCGAACCCGTCATCGAGCAACATGCAGGCAACGGTATGCGAACACAACCACCCAGAACGCATGTAAGCCGCGCAGTCGCACATAAATTTGACGCGAATTGATTCGCACTATTCGTCATCACGATGTCATCATTGGGGCACTTGGGGGCACATACCTCCAATGCATTGAGCTGCGTGATCTTGCTGACAGCATCGCCCAGGTTGATCCTTTCGTCCACACGGACACAGTCCATGCAGATCATGTGCGACTCAATTTCAGTACCAATGCAGCTGAAACCGTTTAACCCGTCGAAGGACTCTAAAAATCTGGAATTTATTCGTGAGACAGGAGATATCAGTTATAGCACGTACGTAGACAATCGTTTTGGTGTGATTCTGCAACCCAAAAACGCTGACGAGTTGAACACAACGAGCCCACCAGCAAGAACTTTGTGGTGTACGGGTAGAGTTAAGAGCAGGGCTTAGTCGAGGGTGTCGGTATTAAACGGTGCAACACCCCATGGCTTCGACCCGCTTTCGAACGAAATCGCGTCGGCAACAAGAATTCGAGAAAGCGTATGACTCAGCACCACTGACGTCACAGCACGTAGCTCATTGGCGCAGATCTGCTTGATCCACTTGTGTTGACTTTCAAATGGGCTGTTCATGCGACGTCACACCAGCAACGCCAGAAGCTGTCACAAACCAGAAGTCCCATGGTGAGATCAAATATGTTTCGTGGAACTAATCGGCGAAATGGTCTTCGCCAAGGAGAACTTGCCATTCCAAGAGCACTATACGTACAATCTGCTGGAATTGCGGCCACGTATGTGCACACCACATCTTGTGGATGCCAGCCGTGACTTTGATGTAGTTGGCCGGGTCAACCAGATGGTATCGGTTGCGGTGTACTGTACGTTCCGCTTCACGTAGCACGATGTAAGTGTGGACTTCGGGCCACTTCCGTCGTGTGTTACCGCTATGTATGTGACGTGATCTATACAGCACACCTGCTCCCACATCAGCTAAGGACTCTTATGCAGTGCCCGAACCTTTGGAACGAGGGTAAATCCGAAGAACGAATGCAACGCAGAAGTTGTCGTAAGTCACGGCGCTTTCCTCAAGGGCAAAAAAATCGCTTGACGTATTGCATGTGTGCGCCGCTGCCCAGTCAGCAAGTCCGGCCAAGTTCTTTATTTCCTATCCATCGCCGCGCTTTCGGACTAGATGCTGCTTGTGATTTGTCAGTTGTCGCAACGTGGGAAGAAGCGCCAGGTAGGCTGAATTTTTTGCTTATCGTGTGTACAAATCCACCTATTTTAGTGAGGATTACATCGACTTGAATGCATACATGTCACCGCCGACATGCACGCCACATTTTGTGAACCACAACACCTTTTGTTAACCAAAATATTGACTTGACATACCACTAGTTTTTTTGGAGTGAGACCATGTCGAAGGCATTCATCGATCTCCAGCAGTAGTGTTGGGTGTATACCGTACTGGATAGCAACATCCAGGCTGTGCTGGATGTTGCTATCCAGCAGCTGCGATTCGGCGCCGAAGTGCACCATGATTTTGATTGAATTGGTAGCGGCAACGCACATGACAGTGCAAGTATATACGTACATATGATTGGTAGAGTCAGAATTGTAATTTCGAGTGTGCTTGTAGCGGAATGGCCTGTGGTGCAAAAACATCTTCGCCGCAACAACACATCCACGGTCGTCCAATGTGGCTTCCGGTCAGTAGGGATTTGGTTGCAGAAAATTTCGGGGGACGTGGGTGGTGATCTCGACGCGGACTCGCTGTCACTTGGTGGTTCTGTCGAGATGTCCCTACTTGACCACGACGCATACGAGCCTTCAGGGCTGCTAGGCTGATTCACACCACCCGCTCAACGTCGGCTCATGATAATTAATG